TGCCTGTGAGGGCTGTGAGCCTGTCTGCCTGCGGTATATACAGTTTACAGTCCTTCTTTCGGTTTGACTATCTTGATTGATTTGATTCGAGGGAGCAATTTGATAACAATAAAAATCCATTGAGTTTTCATAAAATTATTTACTTTTTTTAATTACGTATGAATTTAGGTTATAATAACACATTTATAAACAGCTGTGCACTCTTGTACAGTTGCATTGTTTTATTGGAATACTACCAATAATAGTTCAGAAAGGTAGGTAAAAAAATGATTGTCCAAAAAGTTTTTCATTCAAAGCAAAATAAATAACGTATTTAACAATGGCTGTATGATTCTAAATTTACAGTTATAGAATTTATTGTGAACAATTTCTTAGACAATAGTGTTAAAAATGGATATAGATAGTTCTTCTAATAATATGGATACCACATCTATGACTAGAAGTCACGAAACTTTTTCAATAATGCACTTCACTCAAATTCTTATTCAGACATAACAGCACATTCGTGTAGTTCAGATAATGATACTGATAGTTTATTTATAAAATTAAGGCAGTCTTATCAACTATCATTTACAGATAATAATGAACAATCAGGTTTCAGTGTGGACGTCCTATCCAATTCAGAAGGTAATACAATCAAGTTATTACTGATTTCTATTTTTTTCGTAGATTTACTTTTTGCTTGAATAATTGAAAATATTGAAAAGTTTATAATAAAATAATATTGACTTTATAATCTTTTGAAAACTATAGAACTACGTTTGAATCAATTTTATTCAAAATTATTCAGTTATACATGCCATAGAAAAGTATTAACATTTTGTAAATAATATTGGATAAAAAATGATTGGATAATTCTTTAAAATTATACTCAAATAATTGAAAAATATTAAAATCAAATATTTTATTTAGGTTTCAATAATCTCACATACATTCAGATGTTAATCAATCTCAAACCCATTCAAATGTCAACAATCAATCCTGTGCATATTCAGATATAAGCAATCACTGTCATATAAAGAGAGATGAAATCAGTGTACAAAATAATGTAAGTTTGCAATTGATGATAACATTTTCATAGGGTGAACAGTCGATAAATAGATACACTATGATGGCTCTATAAAAGAATATCACTTGAGCTTTTTTCACATTGGAATTTTCATGAGACTTATTATATAATAATTTATTCATTTACATGGACAATTTCATATCAGTTCAACGGTTCAAAATTTACGTTTAAAATTTTAGAAAATGTCTAACTTTTTAGCAGATCAATTTTGGCCATGAAGGACTCATTTTAGGGATATATATATGGAATAACAAACAATTTATGCTGCTAAATGTGTTTTGAGTCAAGTGTGCCGTCATCTGTATTTTAAAGAAAGCATTAGGATATTGCAAAAACACATGGAAGCTAAAGACGATTCCACATGTATACAGTATGTCAAATACTTAGATAATGGATTTGTTGAAAATAGAGTTAAATTTGCATTCAGATATTTCGGAAGGATAGCAGTTGACGACAGAATTATGAGCTTTTCCAATTTCCCAAAGGGCAAGTAAGAGCTTATGGGAAAATGGTGAAAGATAGGTGCTTATTTAGATCTTCTACAAAATAGTTATTTAGATCAGACAATTCATATGCAGTTTTGAAAAACGAAAATTATATAAAAATCGAGCATTTTATCATCAATTTTCATGATGGAAAAGAGTATACAATATATAGGATGCTTCAAGTCGATAATGATAATCTAATAGGTGATGAATTACGCTATGTCAAGATAGTTACTGGAACGTATTTACATATTGATATAACAGAAACTAAAAATATTAACAAATTGTGTGTTTATATGAATAATAATAATGCCATTTACATTTCATCACTTCCCAATATGTATTGGAAATAATAAGCAAGATGATTAAGGAGGTTGGAAACACTCGCACACCTCTACGCATAACCTACAAATAAGTTAATCGGCTTTAATGCCGAAATGATGTAAAAAATACTGCTAATTTATGGGCAGTTATCGTCCTCTATTAAAATTGTTGATTTTTATTAACGTTTGTCTCAATTATATTCAGTCCAAATAAATTGCAAGAACGCTCAGAATTTTTATTTTTTATTTTTATAATCATTATGTAAGTATTTAGAAATTAGTTTGTAATGTTAGTCTAGTGAGTAGAATGTTTTTCTACTGATAATATTCACTTTTGTAATGTATTGCCTCCGCGAATGTAATATACTGAACTGTATTTTGGATTAAATAAAGAAATAAATTTAAATAAAATAGAGGAACTCACATTCAAATAAAAGCACCTGGGATTCTAAAATAATTGCCCTTTATTTTTTCAAGAAATCGACCCCGAATGTAACTAAAAAAATTTACCTCGATTTTGTCCAGTACTATATCTAAATTTGCTCAGAAATCCATCTGTAAATACCAAAAAATCCACCTGGAGTTGCCGAGAAATCCACCTGGATTTGTCAAGAAATCCACCTGGATTTGCCAAGAAATCCACCTGGATTGCCGAGAAATCCACCTGGATATGCCGAGAAAACCATCTGAATTTGCCGAGAAATCCACCTGGATTTGACGAGAAATCCACCTGGATATGCCGAGAGAACCACCTGAATTTGCCGAGAAATCCACCTGGATTTGACGAGAAATCCACCTGGATTCCAGCTGGATATCCATCCTGAAAATCCAGGTCAAATCCATATAGAATCCATATCAATCCAGCTGGATATCCAGCAGGATTTCCATGTGAAAATTCAGCATGAATTTCCAGCTGGATTTTTTCAATAAAGTTGGCTTCAAGAAAGGTGAAAAATTAATTACTTCATAAAAATATTGATTATTTATCAAGAAATTAATTAATTTTTAGTTTTCCGCCTACGTTTCATACGAGGGTGGTCCGATAAGTGCTTAGCCTCACCGCCCGATGGCGCCACTCTCGCAAAAGAAACATTCTATCACGTAGTACAACCTTCTCGATGGTTACTGTCAAGATTTCAGCCGGATCGGAGTTGTAGTCTATTTTTAAGAGTGTGTGAAAGCAAGTATGTCCGTTGATTTTTGAAAAATGGAAAAAGAGTAGTATCGGTCGGTGATTCGATTCTTGTTTTTGGAAGTGAAATCGCGCAGCGAAATCAAAAAGCGCTTGGATGCTGTGTACGGTGACTCTTCTCCTTCGATGGCGACCGTCAAAAATTGGTTTAACAAGTTTCAACGTGGTCGTACGTCGATTTTTAAAGAGCCACGTCCAGGTGCTCCGAAAATAGCTACCACGGAGGATAACGTGACAAAAATTCACGATCTCTTATTGGCAGATCAACAATTGAAGGTGCGCGAGATAGCTAAGATCGTAGGCATTTCAAAAGACCTCGTGGGTCATGTCCTGCATGAAATTTTGGGCATGAAAAAGCTGTCGGCGCGATGGGTGCCGCGTTTGCTCACTCCGGACAACAAGCGCAACCGTGAGACAACTTCAGAGTAATGTCTGACGCTGTTTAAGCGCAATCCGAAGGAGTTTCTGCGTCGTTTCGTGACAGTCGACGAAACATCGATCTACTGGTATACACCAGAGACCAAGGAACAGTCGAAACAGTGGACTTTACCCGGCGAAAGTGCTCCGAAGAAGGCGAAGACTGCCCCATCGGCCGGAAAGGTGATGGCCACCGTTTTCTGAGATTCACAAGGTGTGATCTACATCGACTACCTGGAGAGGGGCAAAACGGTCACAGGGCTGTACTGTGCCAAATTATTGGACCGATTCGACGTCGAATTGCAGAAAAAACGGCCCCATTTGGCGAAGAAAAAAGTGCTGTTCCACCATGACAACGCACCGGCTCACACCTCCGCCGTCGCCATGGCCAAATTGGTCGAATTAGGCTACGAACTGCTGCCCCATCCACCGTATTCTCCAGATTTAGCCCCGTGCAACTTCTTTTTATTTCCAAACTTGAAAAAGTCACTCGCCGGACAGAAATTTGAGTCGAATGAGGAGGTAATCGCTGCCACGGAAGCCTACTTTTCAGACCTCGAGGAAACGTATTTTTCAGACGGGTTAAAGAAGTTGAAGCATCTCTGGGCCAAGTGTATCGAACTAAAAGGAGACTATGTTGAAAAATAAAACGGCATTTTTCCAAAATTTTCGTTTTTCTTTTGTAGGCTAAGTACTTATCGGACCACCCTCGTAATTCGCGTATACAGCTTGAGCATTTGTACTGCGTTGAATGGAGAATCGTTTCTATTAATTATTTGTTATTAGCATTAACGATTTCAAAAAAGTAATATAGGCTCAATTAAGATTAGCCAAGGTTCACAGGCCAATTTTTTTGAACAATTACTTATTAACAATATTGATTATTTTTTGAGACATCGCTGTTGAACGATTTCGTTAAACAAGCAATATTCGTTAATTTTTTTTTAATGAACTAGAATAGTGTTGTTTGAGTTATTATCAAATTTGGTGGGAGCAGTTAGACATAATTCAACTGGTATTTCTTTGTTTTGTAATTTTGATTGTGTGCCGATTGGGTAGTGATGAGAATCCGATGTAGATACAAAAAATTTTATTTTCTTGAAGTTGTATCGCATTTACATCTTTTATACAACTATGCCCAAGATTCGTAGTTGGCAGTGCCAATCATCTTGGATATAGTTGTATAAATAATATAGACATCATATGACTATATGAAAATGAAATTTTTTGTGGCCTCATCGAATTCTCATCACGGCTGGGGTAAGGTAGGTTATTTTGAGATGGTCTAAATAAAGACGAAGCTAATGGCATATTTTGTTTGTCAAAAAAATCGTTCATGCTTCGGCCGTGATCTTATAGACAACTCTGATTGAACCGTAATAGTTTAATTTATAAATTTATTTATAGAGATCTGAGCAATGTATTTCGAAATGTAACACTAGTCTCGTTTATAGTCTTCATCAGTTTCCATAGTCTCCATGTACTAGCCTAGCCGCTACGTTATCTTTAATCTACATGGTCATAGGATTAATTATTTTTTCACTCGAGAATTAAAGTGGTGTTTACGGTAAAACGGAAATAGACCAGGTTTGCTTGTAATTAAAAACATTAATTTAACTTCAATTCAAAATTTTAAGTTAACTTTAATTAGATTTCGTTGAATAATTGATTAAAATTTCAATCGATTGATTAAAATAATTGTTCGTTTCTTCTAATAAAATCCAGTGATATGTCAACAGAATGGTATTTAATCAAAGAAAATTGTTTTAACACTCTTGTGGAATTCAATTGTTGTTAGAAATATGGACAGAGATTAATAAATGGTTATTATTGAATATTGTTAAAATTTATATTATAAACTACAAAATTATAATTATATTAGAGTTACTTATTGATTAAAATCCAAAATAGGATGATAAATGAAAATTAGATGTAAAATCAGATAAAATAATATTTATAAATTATGACTGAAGCTATAATATTTACAAATATAAAAAATTTGAAAAAACATATTACAACCATGAATGTTTTTCAAATCATGTATTATTATTTTTCTTTGGATAAACTTGCAAAATATTTATGAACTAATATATAATCATAAATGTATAATCAAGATGACATATTTTATGACATATATTATCAATTCTGATATCTTTTCATTTGTTTCTGGCTGACTAAGAAATCTATTAAAATTTTGATAAAAATCATGAATATTTTTTTTTAAAAGAAATTTGCATATTGTTTGTTAAATAAAAATATGCTTCTAATATTTTCCAATAATCCTATCAATACATTGTAACTTTTCTTTTGTTGATAATGTTGTATTCAGTTTGACAAAAAATAGAGTTGAATTGTTTTGAAATTCATTGGGACATTTCTAATATATAATATTAGAGGTCTAACCTTCTTTTAGTAATACTTCAGTGAGTTTTGTTAATAACATCTTCATAAAGTTATACATTAATTTTCAAATTTTAATTTACAATAACTTTCACCAGAACCTATGAATCACAGTGAAAATTAGTATTTCACTCTATTATAAAATTAGTAAATATTATACAATTTTTTAAGTATTTGATATCATTTTCAAATGGTCTATACAATTTTGAGCTCATTATTTATAGGCTAATGTAGAAAAAATTAAAATGGTGAGTCAAGCCTTTGATAAAATAAAGTCAACAATGAATTGGTATCTTAAACATATTAATTATCTATAATATATTTATTCTGTATACAAACTGTATACAATAGATTATGTGTAGAATAAATCCGTGCACAATTTTCTTCGTGTCCACCTTTCAATCATGATAAATTCAATTTGATAGTTATTTCTTATATTTTATATAATTGATAATATTTATCACGAGTCAAATAAATTGATGTAATAAAAATATAATTTATGTCAATAAGAATTGCTTAGTTACATGTAAGTATTATTCTATACTGATTAATGAATATAAGGATTTTGGAACTTACAAATCATTTGTAATAGGGTTTTTTTGTAATGAATTAATCAATTTGAAAAATTTTGTGTGATTTTAAATGAGTCAATATAAATGGTAATTTGGTAAGTCATTTAGATTGCAGATGGATTTTGAAATGATTGTTAACTCTATGAATATCCCTTCTTTTAACTAATTATAATTTGTAGTAATGTATAATAAGCATAGCTTAGTTCAATAAAGTTTTAATTAGTAATTAATATTTTAATTTGTTTAAATTCAAACAAAATTATTATACAGCAATTATAAATGAGATTATAGGAATGATCCAATCAACTATTTTAGAAATTTTCTTATGTTTATCATCAAATTGATTAATTTAAAATAATTGAAAAGAATTAAGGTTAGTTATAAATTAATAAATAAATTTCGCATTAGGAGCAATCAAATGTGTTCAAAGTTCTAAAATTTCACTGTGAACGAAAATATGATCTTTTGAAATATTCATTCAAAGTAAAATTTATTAGTTGAATATGAAACAAAATGTACATATTCGACATAAAAAGTCAACTAGATCATAATATTCTTATAAACTACCCTTAAATAATTTACTTAATCATATGCTTCTCTTGAAGACATACATACAAAACATCTGATTAAATAAAAACTTGTACAAAACCAATGGCTAATGTTTCGTAAAATTTTTCTTGTAGAATGGATTGGCATGACCAGATTTGTAAAAAATAGACTTGGTAATTTGTTTAAATAATTTTTTATAAATAATTGCAAAAGACAAAAGAAAAGATAATTGTACTTTTTTTCGTTAGATTTCGTTTCCAACAAATGGTTTAATGCTATCTAATCCAGTTTTGGCCTGGGCGTTTATGGGTTAAATAATTATGATTTAAACAAAATGTACAATTTTTTCGGTAAAACAATAGATAGTCCGGGCGCAGGGGGGGGTTTCTGTAGGCCCTTGGAGCTCCCCTCGGAAATTCTGTTGACTCTTATGTTTTTTGGTGTGGAAAAGCGATTTTTCGAGGGTATTTAACCCAAAACCCGTTAGTTTTTTTGTTATTAACAATTTAATTGTTTAAACAATCAGAAATTTTTTTTTTATAAACATAGAGCAACAAAACTAATGCCATTGTGTTCCTTTTTTTATTTAGAAACTTTTATCTCAGGAAAATTTTTCTCTATCTTGTTTCTAGAAAAAGTTATAAACAAAAAACCGCACATTTCCATGGCTTATGCAACTTAAGCTCACTATTTTGTTCATAACTTTTTTTCTTTTCGACAGAATGGAGCAAAATCAGTCTCATTTTCAAGCTGCGATCTTTCGCTACAAATCTGTCTAGTTTATTTTATAAATTTTGGCTTTTTACAACGCCAAAATTGTTAATAAACACGATTTTTTTTATAAAATTTGTAAAACTAATTTGTTTATAAGGGTTTATTAACAATTTATTTTTTATTAACCTCAGGATTTATACATGAAATTTATTTTATGAAGTCTACAGATTATTTTGAGCTTTGATTTTTTGAATCGGTTCATTTTTCGCCGAGTTATGGCCAAATTAAGATGAATGTTCGAAAAAAAGGTATATTTGTTCGGTGGGCGTAGTTACTCATAATGCAAGCAGTATATAAACCTATCTTAATTTGGTCATAAATCGGCGAAAAATGGACTGATTTAAAAAAACCAAAGCTCAAAATAATCAGTGGACATCATAGAATAATTTTCATGTATTTTTACTGAAGTTAATAAGAAATAAATTACTTTTGTTGAAAATTTTGTTGAAAAAAGAAGTAATGAGTCTCAATTTTTCAAATATGGGAGCAATGTAATAGCTTTAATTCAATTGCTAATGAATATGATTCGTTCTGATCGGTTAGGAAATTGGAAATCACACGTCGAGACAGTTAAAAAGTTACTTCCATTGTTTAGTATTTTTGATAGGATAAATTATTTGCGATGGTGCTCATTGTATTTTCAAGATATTTTAAAATTATCTGAAACGATGCCAGAACTGTACAACGAATTTATGAAAGGAAAGTTTGTTGTAAAAAGGTCCAACGTTCCTTTTACTTCTGTAGGTGCTGATCAGGCCTTAGAACAAACTATCAACAAAGCACAAAAAAATCGCAAAGAGGGAATAATAGGATGTACCGCAAATAAAGAGTACGTTGCACCGTGGAATTTAAATTATCATGAAATCCTAGCTGATTGTAATTTGCATAGAGATATTATAAAGGTCAAATTGGAGAATGACGAGTTACACACGCATCATAATTTCTCTAGGACGTATACATTTAATCATGAAGAACAAGTAAATAAAATTATGTCATTTATACGCAGTCATGGAAATCCTTTTGCCAAGGGCCAACAACCCCTTAAAAATTTTGCTACGCAGGAAATGCCTACTCATGAAACCACTCAAGCACTTTTAAATATTTTTCCAATTGCGTGCGATCTTTACAGTAAGTTTTATACAGAAAGATTTATAGATAAATCCAAAAGTTTGTCCGATACTATTCAAAAATGTAATCTGCCTAATTTCGCTACTATTCAAAACGAAGCTGGTAATATAAAAACTATATCATCTAAAAAAGAAAGTGTGATTGCGTATAAATTAATCGAAATTGCAAAGGAAAGAAATTTTGATATGAAAAGATTATTTTCTTTTGAATTAGTCACGCCAAATATTTTGCACAGCGACGATGGAACACTCAAGAAAGACGCAAAAAAATATCTGCTTGTTAAAGAATTAGAAACAATATCGTCTGCAGAAAACATTATTCAACTAGAGGATTTGAGTGGTTATACGTTGATTGTTGATGTTATTTGTCGTCAATTAAAATGGACGACTATGGTTACCTTTAATGATTTCACAGAAGCTTTTTGCAAGATGATTCTTCATTCCTCGAAAGACGTCAGTAGGATAGATTTCGTGTTTGATTCATACATAGATGATTCAAAAAAATTAGGAGAAAGGTAACATCGCTATAAATCACGCAGCATAGAGCTGCAAGACGTTACTTCATCAGGTATCATGCCTAAGGATGAAAGCTTATTTTGGGGCTCAAATAAAAATAAAGTATTGCTCCAAAATTTCTTACGAAATTATATTTTTGCGCACTCTCATCAAAATTGGCCAGGAATACAAATAATATGTAGCGCTACGAACGAAATTCCTTGTCAGTCCAATTGGCAAATTAATGGTCGGGAATTGGATATTTTGCAAAATAAAAGTATAGAGGAAGCGGATTCTAGAATTGTTTTACACGCGTTTCAAGTAAGCAATGAAGGAAAAAAAAAGATATTGGTACTTTCGTCGGATACTGATGTGGTAGTCTTATTATTATACTACTGGTCTCGTTTCGAACAAAAAAATTTGCAGGTTTAGTAGTACTTTTTGTTTAAATTATTTAAAATTTATTATATTGTATTAACGCTATCTTAAAAATTAATGAAATCAGTAAAAATACATGAAAATTATTCTATGATGTCCACTGATTATTTTGAGCTTTGGTTTTTTTAAATCAGTCCATTTTTCGCCGATTTATGACCAAATTAAGATAGGTTTATATACTGCTTGCATTATGAGTAACTACGCCCACCGAACAAATATACCTTTTTTTCGAACATTCATCTTAATTTGGCCATAACTCGGCGAAAAATGAACCGATTCAAAAAATCAAAGCTCAAAATAATCTGTAGACTTCATAAAATAAATTTCATGTATAAATCCTGAGGTTAATAAAAAATAAATTGTTAATAAACCCTTATAAACAAATTAGTTTTACAAATTTTATAAAAAAAATCGTGTTTATTAACAATTTTGGCGTTGTAAAAAGCCAAAATTTATAAAATAAACTAG